CCCTCCTGTATATTTTTCTTTATAGACGGAATATAGAACCCATATTATATACAGGACCCTCTTGTATATTTTCTTTACAAATGGAATATACAGTATCCATCTTAAATACAAGACCCATATTATATACAGGACCCATCTTAATACAGGACCCCTCTGTATATTTTTTCTTTATATACGGAATAAGGTCCCATATTATATATAGAGGACCCTCATGTATATTTCTTTATAGACAGAATATACAGGACCCTCCTGTATATTTTTTCTTTGTAGACGGAATAAGGTCCCATATTATATAGAGGACCCTCCTGTATATTTCTTTATAGACGGAATATACAGGACCCATCTTGTATATGATGTTCATTCATCTTTTCAATTGTTTATGATTATATTTTAGCATTCAATTATTTGTTATATATTGTTATTCATTGTTACAAACATATGGTTGAATTCAATTGGCCAAAGAAAATTAATATTAAAGTAAATAAAATAGAAGCTCTATAGGGGACTTTGTTGCTTTGTAGAGGACTGAATTTATTTATTGGTACCATAAAATGTGCTTAAAGATTCACAAAGCTTTCTAGGTACAGAAAGAAGCAAGCAGGATAGTAATAGTTTTTAAATAAATTCGCAAAAATAAATTAATTGAAAACACTAAAATTAATCATCACGCATATGAATTAACAAGGGTTCTATTAAAAAACATGCAGATCATAGGTGCCACTTCCAAATCAGGAAGGTCCTGTATATTTAGCCACAGGACCGGTCCTGTATATAGGATCACCCTTAATTATTAATTATTCTTTTTAGATCTGGTGGTGTACAATCAGAAAGAATTGTTATGTGGCCATATTTATTTATTATTTATTTTTAGAAAATATATAGATTCATCATAAAGTTTTATAATCATTAATTACTTTTAGTATGATCAGAAAGGATTGTTATGGAACAATCAAATTAGTTATTATTTTATTATCATAAATTAAAAGGTTTATTAATGATTGTTTTATTCATTAATTTTTGTTTCTCATTTATTTTTTATTTTTTAATAATTAAAATTTTACATACACAATCAATGAGAATCTAAGCTAGCAAACATACAATGAGTTATAATTAAATTGTTGCAATTGCATTACTATTACCACAAAATATAATTAAATCTGTTGCGATGCATCATCATGAATTATAATTAAATTTGTTGCAATTGCATCACCATGAATTTGTTGCAATCACATTACTGTAATTTGGTATAATGAATTTTAAATGCAATTTTCTTGTGCCCTCATAGATTCATTGGAACAAGGTTTGACTGTATATAGTATTGATCCAATACTTTCTTCCAGGGATTCATGAATTGAGATTAGTTTTTGACATTTCAATTGTTATTATCATCAGGAATCTATTATTCATATATATTAAACACATAAATAAATTCTATGTTTACAATAGAAGTGAGGAGGAGCTTCTAAAACCAGTGGCCATGAAACGGTTCTTAAAGCAGACAATGTAAATGGATATGAATGAATACAATAAGAAAATCTTTTTTATTTGTTCTTGCGTTAAATTTCCATATACGAATTAATGTGAAACATTATTTATTATTAATTGTAATGTTTTACTCTTTTAGTCAATTTCTCTCCTGATACATGATGCCATCAGTCTTACATTGAGCCAACTTTTATATTGTAATTTTTGATCATGAAAAATTTATCAACAAAACACATACTATACAGTACAATCTATCCATGCATACGGTCAAAGCTCATTCATTATAGTGAATCTTATCTATTTCTATTATAACGAAATTTATTGTATGTAATGGAATTGGCGCAACAAAAAACCTTATTCTGAAACTATATATATCACGTAAGAAATTAACGCGCAATATTAATATTGATTTATATGTTACTGTGAACAGATTCTTTTCTTGAATACCTTGCCTAAATGAGATAATAACCTGAACAAAAAAAAATTAAATTCAACCAAATTATTTATGTGAAACGAAGAAAAGAGCCAATAACAATCTTTTTTAAATATAATGACTCTGTATCATAGTGTAAAATTTTTACTTATGACCCGTCTGTTGTCAAATGAACATGCATAAAGATCCTTTGCAAACTTGTCTGTGTATGCTGTTTCCAACAGACTAGCTAGGCAGGCTTGCACAATCCCATAGAATTGATTATCAATTGCAAGATCACTAGTGTCAAAGTAAATGGTGCTGTTGAGTATATCAACTATCTCAAATGTGACTATATTATAAAGCCTCGGGATATTCATTCAGAAATCGTCATTATTATTGCTAGTACATTATATCAAGATTGTTCTCAACTTTTCATTCCACTTCTCAAGAATCTATACAACTATACTAATCATCATCAACACACCCTCCATATCGAAAAGGTCCAATGAGAGTCTCTCTTGGTATTATTTTTAAATGTTTTATTTCGTTACGTTAATAGATCTTTTTTAAAAATTGTATTTTATATTTACAACATGATAATGATGTAATTAATGATGAGCAAAAAAAAGGGAATGACTCGAGTATGTGCGTGACTTGCAATTTCAATCTAAAAATTTGATCTTCTGGTAGTTATCTGAACATTGTGTAGAAAATAAATCAATCAAATAATTTAAATACATATAATATTATAGATTTAATACTTATTTATATTAGAAACACCATGTTCATCAGGAATCGTTTTATTTATAGTTTCATGCATAATTTCCTTGTTAAATGTTTGATAAGCAGCAACACCAGCCATTGATCTATGACCCGACCAATAATTTTCATAATCTTTCATTTATTACATTTAGTTGCGTTAGGTGTTGTACAGTTGTGTGTTTCACTGAATGATTTGTAATGTAGTAGTGTATTTTAAATCTAAATTTAGTCCAGTGGTTTCAGAAATCTTATGTATCATATTTTCATGTGAATATTTTTCTAAAGGAGCATCAACAAACCGAATATAAAATCTTTAAAAAAATACATATACACCAATTATTAACGTTTAATAATAATAATTAATCAATAAAAATGATAAAAATGACAATTTATATTCGCCTGATTTGATTTTGAAGACAGGGAAAGAAAAAAAATTCACATGTAAACTCTTGAGGTCTTTTAGATATATCATTAATAATGTTACCTGTAATAGATGATAGGTTTTTTAATTGTGGCTCTAACATACCATAATTATTTATATAAAGCCTCTAGCATTGTTTTTTTTACGAGGAATTGTAATTGCCAGTCCATTAAAAGCTGACAATTCTACATTTGCAAATTTCAATCTTTGAAACCACCACATAAGAAACGTAATCAGAAATAGACTTTGTAAGTGCAAGATAATGGCATATTTTGAAATTCAGAATGTGTTAAAATTCATTGTAGTCCAATGGATTAGATCCTTGTTTTTTTTTTAGGTTTGAATATAGGATGTTTCCCATCCGAGTGTCTTAGAAAAATATCATGAACAGGAGAAATTTTAGAATTTTGTCCTAAACGTCGAAATATTGAAGCAAAGGAATTTTGAGTGATGTGGCGATTTGTCTTTCTTGTTCAGAGCTTGAAAGAACTAGATCGATTATGTAATGACTTATGTTAGTTATTTCATTAATATCACATTTTAGTTCTTAAAAGAATTAAGAGTCAAGTCTATTAATGAAAAAAACCTCAGTTTCTTCAACGGGATCATCTTATTACATATTCTTATGTCACTTGATAGCTTCTACTGTGCATACACTGCAAAGAAATTTATAAATCATTACATCCAAAGGTCCTAGGAAAATTATTCCTTGACCTATGTATAAACCCATACAACCAATGCTGAAAATTCAACTGCGGACTAGTACAAATTGGAAACCACTACTATTACTGTGTAACGAATCACATGTCGATTCGTCTAAATTTTTCTGGTAATACAAAAAATTTTTTTATTGTTAACAAGAAGTATTATTATATGCAATGCATTAAAAGCTTAATTTTAATTACCGTAATAGTAAATGATACCTTCTTCTTTATATATATCGCCATTTATAGAAACTTTTGGATAATCTTTAAATACATCTAACAAAAAATAATTTTTTAAACAATGGATAATTTTTATGATGAAAGCACAAAAAAAAACTAACCGTCAGAATTTATTTATTTGCCATAAATGTTAAATACTTCAATTACTTGAGAAATGCATTGTTTATTTTATTTTTAATTAATTTAAAATAAATATAGATCAGATGCATCACGTTCTTATTAAATTTCCATATTCATTAAGGGATTTTTGCACGCGATTCTAAATTTGACGAATTCAATCGATCCGAATTAAGAAATCCATTAGCAATCTATGCAAACTGAGAGTGTGTGAGTGACCTTTATAATCTATTTTGATTAAGAATTTTGTATTTTTGGTTTATTTATTAAAATGTGATTCAGATTTAAATTAAAATTCAAATAAAAACCATCACGAAAAGAATTAATTTTTTTATTTTTACGGTCTGTGTTTTACATGTGTGCGAGTAGTTTCGTTAATCTGGTAACTAAAATAAAAACAATTTACTTGTTGACTGAAACAAGTTAGCTGTTTGTAGTCAATATTTCTAATTAAAAATTATTGCTTCGCAGGCTAGATAAAACACAAATCAGAGCAATTTGGCAAAAATCGAAACCATGCTAAAAGATGTAATTTCATAATAATTACGCAAAAGCTATGACAAGAGGATTATCTTCAAGACATAAATGTTTTTTTTTCTCATAAATACACGTAACAATTAAAATTTATTTGGGTTTATTGAAGTAATAACATGAATAGATTAATTAATTTATTAAAGAAAAACTATTATTGCTTTGATCACACGTAGGCGCGAATTTAAACGAACCTTAATTTTCAAAGACACTTTTGGAATGATATTTGTTTATTTTTAAAAACAGAAATTTATTTTTATCTTTTTGATAAAAATATATACATATATAAAATTTAAATTTAGAATTAAATTAATAAATAAATGTTCACGTTACAGAGAAATATGAGAAAGTGAAGAAGAAGATGCGTATTTCAATCTTGTGATAAAAACCCGAATTGTGGCGAATTAAGTATTACAAAGTGGCAAGGTGTCGGATATCAATATTCTTGAGAACGTTATTGGCCACGCTTATCTTTTCCATTTGAAATTTTCATACTAATTTCCATCTTTAATCAACTTCGGGCAATAATCAAGCCACACATTTCTGTTGTACAAACTTAGTGTAATAATATTGCCATAATAGATCTAAATTTTTAGATAAAAAGTGTTACTCTTTTCCACTTCATGTTATAAATTTTTTGTGAAATTAAAAGTATTAATTAACAAGCAAAAATACACACATTGAAAGTATAATAACATACAAACACCTTGATAACGCGCCTTATTGTATGCTAAACTTGTCGTTACCGTACATAAAAAACACACATACATCCACATACATAATAACATCATCCATATTAATCAATAATTCATTTCTCGACTATTTATTTTGTCATCTCTTTTTGGAATCTTGGTTGGTTATTTCTTTATCTAAATATTGAAATTTTCTTTATTTTATTGAAAAAAGAAGAAAATTCAATACTTCTAGACTTTGTCTTTTTATGACAAGTTATTAAAAACAAAAAACTTACGATTTCTTTTAACCTGATCCAATAATTTTAATTGTCGAGCTGTACTTAATAAATACAGTGTTCCCAACACGAACGATAAATTTTTTAAAAAAAGTTAATAATACTCTATTTATAGAATCGTTAGAAAAAAAATTACTATAAAATAATTGAATAAATATTCGTCTTTTTAATTCTTTGCGGTTGACGAGAACTAACAAACTGGAATTGATCATTTCACCACTACAAGATTTTCAATTTTCTTCTATCTATTAATTTCTCCGCCTTTTATGATCGTTTCAAATCAAACAATCACAACAATGTCTTCTTCCTCTTTTAAAGACCATAATCAACTACAATTTGTGAACGAAACAATTAATTCCGCTGAAGATAAGCCTAAATTTATCACACATGTTAAAGTTCCCTATCCTCCACCGATTAAACCTGAGGAACTTGTCATTCCAAAGAAAAATGGTGAAGTTCCTTCAAGGTCCCCAAATCCTTTTATAATCTATCGAAGACTGTACCATAGAGAATTGAAAGCGAAAAATTTGACTTTTAAAATGACAGACGTGTCTTCTATGGCATCTACTTCTTGGAAAAAGGAACCAAAATCGATCAAGGATGCATATTTTCAAATCGCGGAAAAGGCTCGAAATATGTTAACAGATACACGACAAAAATCTTTGACTTTTTCACGACGTAAACGGAAACCAAATTTGAGTTCGATTTCCAACAACCACGATCGCTTTGTGAATTCTAATAACCAAAAAAGATCAACAACTTATTCGCCTACTCTAATTAAATCTTCATATAAAAAACAGAAATCTTCATCAGATTTGGTTCAATCACTAAAAGATTTTGAAAACTGTTTTGGAATTACAACTGCAAATTCGGATAATATATCACAAACTCAACAAACTATGTCGTCACCTTCGTATTCTTTTTCACTTGTAAATAAATTGATGCTGTCCGAAAGTATTGGCAATATTTACGAACAATATTCAATTCCGGATCTGCTTGGATATTCCGATGGTGAAAATTCTTCGCCTTCTACGGATGGTGGAAATTTTGACAAATTTAATCAACAAGCGCAAATCATCATGTCCCCCACTGCTGATACATTAAATAATGACTTTGACAATATTTATATCAATAATAATACTAGTAGCAACATAACAACGTCAGTTCCGTCAATCACATTAACTGACCCATCTTTTATCAACTTTACATGTTATAATCAATTTAATTGGAATCTCGATCCATTTTATCAAAATTTACCTGTGCTTGATGGAAATTTAACGATAATCAACAACGACGACAACAGCAACAGCAACAATCCATATATTAATAATAACTATCAATTATGATTAAGTTTTTTTTAAGAATTTTACTTTGAAAGAAGTTAATATATAATGTTTGCTTATTTTTTAATTTTGATTTTTAATCTTTTATTACAATAAATTTTATTTTATTATTTTTTTTTAATTATTATATTTATTTTTCTTGATTTAAGAAATGAATTATGAATTATGAATTAGAATTATGCGAATTAAGTTGTATGTCACATTTATTATAGAATAAAATCTTAAGTTTCCTCAGAAATAAAATTAATCAAATTGTTCACCCGACTGATTCTTTGATTTCACTGTCTTTATTATTTGATATATAAAGATTCCATCAAAGCGCCCAGTTGGTAAAATAATTTTGTTTTAAGCAAGTGCGAAATACTTGGCAAAAACAAATTTATTGTCAAGTCGATAAGTAATTCTTGCTTATTTAAAACCAAGTTATTCTTGTTTGGTTTTATTATTAAAATATATTTGCTAAAAAATTATGGGATAGACAAGCGCCATATTTGGTTGATGTGACATAACACTACATTCGCATACTAATACTCCTATCGGGGACATCCTGTTTCCATAAATTGAATATAATAGGAAATGAATGAACTGATTTCGCAAAAAATTATTCATGCATTCATTTAATTTCTCTCTGTTTAAATTGAACTCATTACTAATTACAATGACGATTAATATTCCAATTTCTCTAGAATATTTTCAGGAGAGATTTTATCCTATTATTTTATAATTTTCATATTTTCATTTGACTTCATGTTTTAAACACAGGCGAAGACGAAGAAGTGAAAACATTTGAAATCTAAAAGTCAAGCCAAAGGCTATTTATTACATCTAAAACCATTTCTTTCGCGTCTAATTCATCTTGCAGTTGATGGCGAGGATACAAATCAAGTTGAAAACACTATTGATTTAAATGAAGGGGCCATTGAGATGACAATGACATAACACATAATAACGATCATGTTGTATTCATTGAAAGTTGGCAACACCTTTTAAAATTGGCAACAAGTTAAGGCATTTTTGTATAATTATGCTTTGAACAGTAACCCGAAAATAGACATTTATACCTAAAAAAATGAATATTTCAAATTGTAAGGAAATTATTAAGTATAAACATTTAGAGTGGGTGGGTCGGATGTTTTAGACTGACAAGTTGATAAAACTTTCCTGGTTACAAAACCGCCCGTCTGGTTAACTTGACCGCCGCATGGTTGTAACCAAAAGGAGTAGTTATTCTAATCATTGGTTATGAATTAAATCATCCTTAATTGGAATGGGAAACCATGTAGTTGTACTTAAACCAGAGTTTTATAGTTGTTTGCT